GGGGATGAGCCATCTAGATTGACTAGGTTGCAGACCTCTTCAAATAGTTTATTTTGATTTTTATTTACACATATAAGGGGTATTTTTTGGCTTTCAGCCATGGGCATCCAAAATCTCAGCACCGGTCCTGCCTCCCTGGTAGAGCTGTTCATGGGCAGGACAACCCATTAGATCCGACCCATTAGACCCGCTAGAAATACGGGTTTGGACAACCATTATCGAGAAAATGGACGGACCCGGGTTTGTTCATTAAAATTAACGAGCGGACATGGGCAATGTAAAAATAAATATGGACAGACCTGTCCAGCCCGTTTATATTTTATAATTAATATTTTTTACCATTAATTAAGATTATACTAGTATATTTTAAAATTAAATTATTAAAGTTATAAAATGGGAGTTGGGACTCTTTGATTATTCTTGAGATACTCAAAAGGCTAAATGGTTGTTTGTTTACCTCTTATTGCCCTATAATTCATTCATTTCATTGTTGCTACTCGCTCATTCCAAAATCCAAACTCCCCTATTCATCTTTTTGCGACGTTGATTGCTCTATGATAGCAGTATGATTGATGATTCATTGTTGCTCCTCGCTCATTCCAAACTCTCGATTACAAGTTGAATGTTTCAAACTCTTTGATTTTCACGTTGCTACTTATCACTGGTATCTCATATTCTCATCGATTTCTTTATTTTTTTTGGCAAAAACTTCTATTTTGTATTGATATGTAGTTACACTATGATGGTCACTTTAGTTGCTAAATTTTTTAATTTCAACGGTGTTTTTCTTTACTTTTTGGTTCCACATTTGTTAAATAATTGCTAGTGAATAAGTTTATAGATTTATAAGAGTTACACTTTTTAGACTCGTTAGCCCTTGGGCAAGCCCGACCCGTTTATAGGGCGGGCAATGACAAGTTGTCAAACTCGAATAAAAGGGTTTGGATTTACAATATTATACCCATTGGGAAAAAAAAACAAGTTAGGCCCGGCTAGTGATGGCCAAAAACCGGTCTCGGTCGAAAATGGTAAGACCGGTCAAGGTTCTTCATAACCGGTTACAGGCCGCCGGTCCTGGCATTAAAAAATAATTTTTTAATGATATATATTTTTAATACATTATAAAATTTGTAATTGGATAACTCAAATACACTTTAAAAATGCGTTTTAATATAATTAAAATTACATTGTCTTAAAAAAATACATTATAAAATTATTTAAAAATACATTTATTTATAAAATTATTTGAATTTTCGGGTCAGGCCGGGCCGGTCCATACCTGGTCCCACGAAACTGCCAAAACCCCCAACCGGGTCCCGATTTTCGATCCAATAACCGGTCCTCCGACCGTCCCTGACCAAGCCAATTTGGCCATCATTAGGCCCGAACCAGACTCGCAAATGATCACCTCTACTCCCCGGACAACCCTAAGACAAGGGTGGCTATATAATGGAGACGATGATAACTTGGAATGTAAATGAATTTTACATAATTGAAAAAATCAATATAAATTATAATTAAAATAAATTTACAAGTTTTAGCATAATTAATAATAAAAATAATGTTTTGATGATAAAAAATCAATATATAATCAAAGTAAACTACAAATTCGGTTTTTGTAGTTTGATGAAAATAACACTTTTTCCCCGTGTAAAACTTACAAGAAGGTCATCGTGGAAACATTTAGGGATCATTTACCAAACGCTTATCCGGTAAGCGTTTACCAAGTAACATTTCCTCACAAGATGAATATGGTAAGGACTAAAGAATCTTACTCGGTAAGAGCGAGACAAAGACCAAGAGTCTTACCCGGTAAGTAAGGACGACAACTCTTACCACGGTAAGCGCTTACCGGGTAAATTGTTGCATACGATATCGTTTTGGTGGATTAAAATCTTACACAGTAAGTAAATAATAATGTTAAATTTTACCGGTAAGTACTTACCGGGTAAGTATTTGGTAAACGGCCCTTATATTTGATCTCTTTTTCTAATATCAGTTAAAAATTGTATTAAATAAGGGACATTCTTTTATCAGTTCTTTTTGTATAATATCCATGGTCCTAACTCCTAAATAAGGTTTGGTTTGCATTGTAACGTGTTATGTCACTACTTTAGTCTTTGGGCTCTACTCTAAGGTTTGGTTTGCATTGTAACGTGTTATGTCACCTTACGATCTGTTATATCACTTTATTTTGTAAGGTGTTGGTTTTTTTTCAATATATAACTTGATTGTGATAACTGATAATTAGTTACAAGACGTAAGACTTAAATAAACACAAAAAGTAAACTTAAAAACTAAAATTCTCAATAGGTAAATACTTACTCGCATTCCCTTACACGAATAGTCGAACATGAATTGTTTGATAATTGGAGAAAGTTAGTGAGTAGTAGAGATTTAATCCCGATTTTACACTCTTGATATTATTTTTATAAGCTATATATATATATATATATATATATATATTGATTAACCTGGATATCCAACCCGCTATGCGAGCCGACACCGTATTTGAACCTCCGTGGTCACATGAAGATTTTTATTCCTCTTAGATTTGAGCCTGTGACATCCTGGTACTTTTGACCTTTGGAGCCAAACTCAAATCAATCAGGCACCACCCTTGTGGTTAAGCTCTATATATTTTCTATCAATGGTTTTTCTTTCTTCTTTAATTTTGTTATTTTTTATATATGAATTTAATTTGTTCTATAATATTATTTAAAACACTAAACATACAAGTGTATGTGTGTGTGAATATGTATATATGTCATCTTAAGACACGTCTTGGAACATGTTTTGTGACCTTATCGTAGTAGAGCTTGAGGTTTGACCTTATTGCCACATCACGTCTCACGTCATTTAGATACTTGATTTTACCTAATCAAAAACCACATTTATAGACCAAAATCATAAAATCGATATTTTATTGGTTAAAAAACAAAAACATCGATAAGGGTGCTTTTGGTATACTGAACAGGAAATAACAGAGATCATTGTTTCATGTTTGGCAACGTTTTTATGTTAAACAAACAAGAACATAGCTGAACAAAGTGGAACATGCGTGTTCCAACCCTACCCCATAGAACAAGGTGGTACAGACCTCTAGTTTACCTATATAACCTCAAGTTAAAACATAATTTCCTTGTAAAACATCAAATAAAAACATAAAATACATCTTTTTTTTTATATTTTATTCATTCTTATAAAAATTATGCTCTTTAAACTTTCACTTTGTTGTTCTCAAAATATTATTTTATAGGGATTCTATATTTTGGTTAATTTATGTAATTTACTGAATATTAATAATAAAACAATAATATATAAAAAGTATAAAATAAAAATTAGTAGCTACATAAACTTTTTACTTTGGTGTCATATTAATCGTACCGACAAAACTCTCCATTGATATATTTTGTGATAAAAAAAATATGTATCTTATTAATTATAATTTAATAATTAATCAAAATATGTAAACAACTCATTAAGGATAAATTGATCATTTTATCTGTTCTGTCTTAGCAAACATAGAACAACTATTTTGTTCTGTCCTGTCATGTTATGTTATGTTATGTTCTATCTTCTCTGGATACCAAACACACTCTAAAAGCACAACAATGTCTCCCATTTAACGAACTTTTGTAATAACCATTAAATAGAGAGACTAAATTTGAACGTTTTTTAGAAATCATAATGACAAACTTATCTATATATTATAAAACATTTGACAAAAATTCTTAAAATTCATTTTTTATGCATGAAGTACTGTTTATTGATGCATATTACTTAAAATTTAAGATTACAAGTAAATTGTGCGTAAATACAACTTATTAAAGTTGTATGTTTGAATTCGTGTAACTAACTTCAGATAAACATATATAACTATACTATATTATAAAGCATTTGACAAAAACTCTTAAAAACATTTTTTATGCATGAAGTACTGTTTATTGATGCATATAACTTGAAATTCAAGATTACAAGTAAACTGTGCGTAAATACAACTTATTAAAGCTTCATGTTTGAAGTCATGTAACTAACTTCACTTCAGATAAACATAATCAAATATAAGATAAACATTTCATTTTTTAAATATAAAAAAACTAAAATATAATTATGATAATCATTTAGTTCTAAGAAAATACTTAATTATTATTTTTATAAAAAAATATATATTTCTAAACCAAAAATTAAAAAAAAATGAATTAAAGAAATACACAAAAAAAAAGAAATTTTAAATAGTCAGTTTGATACTAGTATCAATACTTTTTATTTTTTATAATATTTTCATATTTATATTTTATTCAAAAATAAAAACAGTATCGCTTTTTCAAAACCAATAAAACCGTATTATAATATCGACTAAGACAAAAATAAACGCAACACCTAAAATCAAGATATATCTTACTACATTGCATGAGTACCCTTCTAGTAATTTCAAAATACAGGAACAAGAAATGTTATCGTCAGAACCAAATTTATAGTTTACTCTATAATCGGCATAAAACGTGTATACCGGGAAGGACCATTCGTGTAATTGATTCCAAAAAACGTATGTAGACAGACATATGTAATTGATTAATAACAAATGGGTACGCAGATTCAGCATCAAACGAACAAATCTCAACAACCATGCTTTCATGAATTTGGACCAAGAAAGAGTCAACCACGAGAGTGAGAGAAGAAAGTAAATTCCCAAATTAATTAATATGGTTCAAAAGAGATCTAAATCCAATATAAATCTATATTAATTAAATATCTGCAGTGTTTTTACGTAATTGATCAAAAACAGCTAAATTTTAGAGCGATCTGACGGCTACCTTAAAGAGTAAATCGAAAAAGTATCATCAAAAGACGTATTTACGCTTTCCAACATAAAAGATGTGTCAAGAACTATGAAAGCCTTTGTTGCAGTATATATTCAAATGTAATCAATTAAGCCACAACTAACAAGAAAGCAATTAGACCCCATTCAGACACATCCATCTGGGACAGATATAAAGATGGAGAAAGGTTTCAATGGCCATTTTGATGATGATGGCAGAATCAGAAGAACAGGTATGCATTATCACATCATGCATGGGCACATACATACATGCATATAGACATAAACATATGTGGGTTCTTAAATACTTGTGTTTTTCTAATTAGGGTTTTATATATTATCTTGTAATCATGATCTTGAATTTGTTTTGAAGGGACGTTGATGAGTGCAAGTGCGCATATTATAACAACGGTGGTAGGATCGGGAGTGTTGTCTTTGTCATGGTGTTTCGCTCAGTTGGGTTGGATTACTGGGATCGTTTTACTTGTCGCGTTTGCAATCATCACTTGGTTTACATGCCTATTGCTTGCAGACTGCTACAGGTCACCGGATCCCGTTACCGGCACTAGAAACTATAATTACATGCAAGCCGTCAAGGCTAATCTTGGTAAACTTCATTAGTGGTTGTATTCTTCAAATTTAAGGGTTTTAGATGTTTTGCTAAGAAATCTTTTGATCATATTGTGGCAATAGGAGGGGTTAGTTACAGATTCTGTGGATTATCTCAATACGGTACTCAAGTTGGTGGGACCATCGGGTACACCATCACTTCGGCCATCAGCATGGCGTAAGCTTGATCTAGACTCGAAAACTCACTGTGTGTTCGTTGGGGTGTTTTATGTACCTAACTTCGGTTCTTGTGGTTGAGTAGGGCGATTAAAAGGTCGAACTGTTTTCATAAGCACGGCCACGACACGGGTTGTCACACGTTGAACAATTCCTACCTGTTGATGTTTGGAGCTATGGAGATTGTTTTGAGCCAAATCCCCAACTTTCACAAGCTCTCGCTCATTTCCATCGTTGCGACCATCATGTCTTTCAGTTATTCGAGCATCGGCATAGCTCTTTCAATCGCCAAAATTGCAGGTCAGATATATACGATACATACTATATATCATTGAGAAAAGACACTACAACAAAATCGGATTTATAGGACACTCTAAAATTCTAAGTGACCTAATAGACCTCTTTATAGGACTTAGTTTATAGGACCAAAAAAATAAAGTGTCTTATCTAAAGGTGTTTATATAACGTTTTTTGACGTCATAATAAGTTTTTTAGAAAACTTTTAATATAAAGTGTCCTATTATCAATTTTATAGGATACTATTTGAAAAATTGTCCTACAATAACAGTCCTATAAAAAAATGAGTTTATAAGACACTTTCTCAAAAGTGTCTTATAAAGTTGCCAAAACGACACTTTGTATTAAAAATGTTCTAAAAAACTTGTTAAAACGCCCAAAAGCATCATGTAAACTTATTACAACACATTTAGATATGATACTTTATATTTTGGTCCTATAAATTAAGTCTTATAAAGTCTATTGGGGCACTTAAAAATTGGGGGTGTCCTATAAACTCAATTTTGTTGCAACAAGGCCTATTCTTCCACTTTTCAGTGGAGCTTTTTTACAAGCTTGGATAGCCAAAAAAAGCCGTCTCATGAGCTCTTTAAAAAGCTCATGGTGGATGCTCTTGCACATATGTCTGTAAGAAACACCAAACATACAAGTTATATATAACGTATTTCATGTACATGATACAGCTCTTTCATGCAAGATCTGAATAGCTGTATGATATATATATATATATATATATATATATATCCCTTCTTTTTAATTTTTGTTTATGGGTTTTTTTGTAAAGGAGGTGCACACTCCAAAACAAGCCTAACTGGAATACCAGTTGGCCAAAACATGACAAGCATGGACAAAATGTGGAACTCCTTCTCTGCCATTGGAGATGTTGCTTTTGCTTATGCTTTCAGTCTAGTCCTCCTTGAAATACAGGCAAAATCTCTGTCTCTATATACATTTACCATCCTTATATATACATATACATATAGATATATGTATATATGTATATCTGATAATGGATGGTTATGCAAATGTAGGATACATTGAAATCAAGTCCTCCTGAGAACAAAGTAATGAAAAGGGCTTCCACAATTGGAATTGCAACATCCACTGTGTTGTACATGCTATGTGGGGCACTCGGATACGCGGCATTCGGCAACGATGCTTCTGGGAATTACTTGACAGGGTTCGGTTTCTATGAACCATTTTGGCTCGTCGATATTGGTAACTTGTGTGTCGTTGTTCATCTTCTCGGAGCATATCAGGTACAGATATCACATTTTGGTCCATCTTAACTAATTAGCTTTCGAGTATTAAAATGCAATCTGTCTGAAGGTAATTATCCAACCATTTTTCGCGTTTGTGGAGAGTTGGAGTCATAGCAAGTGGCCCGAAAGCAGATTCATCACGAAGGAATATAATTTCATAGGAATCTACAGGATCAATCTGTTCAGGTTGAGCTGGAGGACGGTTTACGTGATACTAGCCACATTAGTGGCGATGATCTTCCCATTCTTCAACAGTTTTCTCGGACTTATCGGTGCTGGAACTTACTGGCCGATGACGGTTTATTTCCCGATAGAAATGCATATTTCGAAAGCAAAGATTGAAAGAAATTCTTTCACCTGGATTTGGTTGAAGATACTGAGCTTCACATGCTTGATTGTAGCAGTTCTAGCTGCAGCTGGATCTATTCGAGGTCTCGTTGTATCTGTTTCGACCTTCAAACTCTTCCATTCGGTTTCTTAATTAGATCGATCTGTAATTGTTTCCATAATTTGTGTAGCTTCATGTTAATTAGTTTTAGTATTCTCAAATGGGTTATTAATTCTTAATCAACTTCTTCATAGCTTCCATCTGAAACAGTAAAAACAAGTTCATGAACCATCTTCTAGAGGATCAATTTATGATCCTAAAAGTACCCAAACGTTATAGAATTTTGAGTCTTTGTGATTTAAACATAACAGTTTCTTGATGATACTAAGGGCCTGTTTTTCATCAACTTAACGACACTCACAACTTAGGTGACTATTTGATGGTGACTTAATGATATAGAAAGCGACTTACTCAGTAAGTTTCTGGGGGAGCTTTATGCAGAAAGCCAGTTTTTTTTTTTCCAAACTTGTCATTCCTAATTAAAAAACATACTCATTTCATCTATGAAAATCCGTTCGATTTTAAAAAACACGTATTAATGAATTTTTTAAGATCCCGTTTGGTTTGCACGAATGGAATGTATTTAGGGGATTTAGATTTCAAATCCATTTCAATCTCATGTTTGGTTTGTTGGATTATTTGGATTTGAAATCCTATTATTTAATTGAAATCCTAGGATTTAATTGAATCCTACAAACATAGCATTTTGAAATCCTTAGCGGATGCTCGGAATTTCATGGGATTTTGTAGGATTGTATGTAATAAGGTTTTAAAAAATATTAAAAACATTTAATTTTGTAATAATCAATTAATAAAAATATGTTTTAATTATTTTTATAAATAATGAAATCCAATTTAATTCCAAATCATACGAATCAAACACATCAATGATTTCAAATCTGTTACAATCCAAATCGGGCTCGCAGAAAGTGGTTCCAAATCCACATATTTGACCAAGGAAAAGTCAACATTAATTTTCTAAAATACATACCAAATAACTAAATAAATTAACTCACCAAATATATCCTCAACAAATCTATATATATATTAAAGGAAGAACCAAAAGTATTGAGGTGACATCATGAGAATTGAGTATTGAGGTGTTGGTGAATTGTGGTTGAGTTTGAGATATCCGACATTGGTGAAAAGTTGAAAATTTTGAACAAAATGAAGTGTATAAGAAAGGTGAATTGGATGTCTTTTTTGTGTCAAATATGAGGTTTGCCTCATAGGGTTGTCTTTCTTTAGATGACCCTTTTGAAATCTATAACCATCGTTGGAAACCAATCTATATATGTATTAAATGAAAAACCAAGAGTATTGAGATGACATCATGAGAATTGAGTATTGAGGTGTTGGTGAATTGTGGTTGAATTTGAGATATCCCCATATTGGTGAAGAGTTGAAAATTTTGAACAAAATGAAGTGTATAAGAAAGGTGAATTGGATGTCTTTGTGTCAAATATGAGGTTTGCCTCATRGGGTTGTCTTTCTTTGGATGACCATTTTGAAATCTATAACCATGGTTGGAAACCAATCAAACCAAATGGTAGAATTCATAGTGCAAAATTAATTATATTATATTATTATATCTTCATCAATAGTATATATATATATATATATATATATATATATATATATATATATATAAAGGAGGAACCAAGAGTATTGATGTGGCATCATGAAAATTGAGTATTAAGGTGTTGGTGAATTATGGTTGAGTTTGAGATATCCCACATTGGTGAGAGATTGAAAGATTGGAATAAGAAGATGTGTATAAGAAAAAAGAATGAGACTTATTGTGTCAACTCATGAGGTTTGAGTCATAAGGTTATCTTATTTTGGATGACCTTATTTTTGCAAAACAAATCTTATATTGTGTTAGCTCAACGAGTCATAAAGTTATCTTATTAGGATATTGAGGTGACACAATGAAAATTGAGTATTCTCAAATGGTGGATTGTACTTGAATTTTAGTTGTCCCACATTGGTGAAGAATTGAAATATTTGAACATAATGAAGT